AAAAGATAGCAAACTAGTGAAAGATAGTAAAATTAAAAAAAAAAGCAAGAATAACAAGGTAATTAAAGATAATTAAAACTTTTTTATGATTATTTTATATATACAATGAGGACTTAGTTAGGCATCGCATAGCGCGAAACTTTTATTAGCCAAACAAATTGATGCGCGATAAATAAGAGTATCGCACTATGCGATGTACTGTATATATTCAATAATTTGATTTACTAACATGGCTCAGTCTTTTCTAAAGTCTTAGAGGATTTTATCTTCGCTGAGTTCTGACTTTTCCCAGGGTTTCAACTTTACCAAGGTTTTGCCAGAGTTTCGCCGTTTCGTTAGAGTTTCGCCGTTTCGCCAGAGTTTTGCCTGGTTTCGTCTTTCACCGGATTTAGTTTTGTCTTTCGCCATTTGCCAAAAATAGTTTCGCCTGCCAACACTAGTCACAGATAATTAGCCCAAGCTCTTAGCCTTAGCTTCTAGTTCGAGCTTCTAGTCTGAGCTCTTATTCTTGTATATAATTTATATTTATTTGTCCTTGTACAAATTACTTATATAAATTATTCAATAAAAATATAAGCAAGACCTCATCTTAATATCAAAAAAAAAATAATAATAGATAATAGAAAGAGGAAAAAAAAATAAACTAATATATAAAAAAAAATGTTGAATCATGGTTATCTGGACCCTTTACACCATGTATCACATCTGACAGCTTCTGGATATTGTATAATATGATTATCTAAAAAAAAAAAACAATTGCTCAGTCCACCCACTCATGAAAAGCAATACCACCCACCCAAGAAAAGCAATACTACCCACTTGTTCAAGAAAAGCCCCAATACCACACAAAAAAGGACCACCATATACTCACCCAAGAACACATGCAACCCATCCAAGAAAATATACACCACATACCCAAGAAAACATATGCCGCCTATCCAAGAAGCAATAGACACCCACAAAAAATAAAAAAACTAAGTATTTTTTTAGCATGCTAGCAATTCTTGAAATTTCTAAAACAGTAGAAGAGTATAAGATGATAGTCAAATATCTTCATTTAGAAACTATCTCAGATAGTGTTCAAAAGAACTCCTTCGCAAGCATTGCAAGATCCAACTTTATTTGTCACTGCAAAAATTTTGAAGTTGATGAAAATAGAATTCTTTACTTTTTTGTTGGTAGATCCATATTTGTTGGCTTTTTTATTAGTTGGCGAAGATTCATATTTGATAATATTCTTCATTATAATTCTCATTAGTTAAGAAAAATTCATATTTGGTTTGAAGAATTTATATTTTGGTAATATGCATTTTAAGATTTTCATCAGTTGGACGAAGATTCATATCTTTCACAATCATGTTAATTAAATGTAAGTTTATATTTTGTCGTGATTTTTTAATCACTTGTTGGTTAGACGAATTTTTAAATTTGCTTAGATATTTGTTGAACAACGGTTACATTTGGCTGGGTACTTATTTGTGTGCGCAAAAGTAAAAAGAAATTTTCATGAGAGAAAGAAGAGAAAATTCTGTATGTTAAAAAAGCATATAATTGATAAGGGTGACGCACGGGTTGTTACGTCAGGCCCATATGATAGTATAGTTATTATCAGTTATTTTAGTATATGATATTTTTAAGATATTGGATCAAGCGATGATAAATATCATAAAAATTGTTCCGACAGAACAAATTTTATGATATTTATCATCGCTTGATCCAATATCGTTCTTGTCGTGTTTACGTAATAGCGTACAAAAAATAATAAGAAAAATTTATGACGTGCATAAGAGTTTGCACGATAACTATGCGTAAGCTTAGGGTTTGGGCCGGTTTTATTGTTTATATGTTAACCCGGTTTTAATCGGTTTTACATATAAAAATAGAGATGTTTCAAACCTACGTAAGCTAGAAAATTTTAACCACGTGGCTAAAGGCCACGTGATTTAAATATGACCGTAATTAGCTTATATATGTCATATAACCATGCTATAGTTATAGGTATTTTCTGGTTGTTTTCTTTTGCCATCCAGCCTAATAGTTCTCCCAACCCATGACATAAATTCTCCATAGAAAGGTAACAGATAAAATATAATGTATAAAAAAAAAGTAATAATGATTCAGTAACACTACACGTCGTTCCTAGTCTTGGCGAAGTGACAATACTTAAAAATAGAAGTGTTCACAAATCATTGGTTTTTTATAATATCTGAAATGTATACAAAAATAAGAATATTGTTCGAATAAATTTAATCTATTATTTGACTTTTTTGAAATAATGCAGGTTTAATTTCTTGAAATGATAATTCATAAGATTATTATACCGCAACAACACTGACAACCTTAAATATTTTAAAAGAAAAATCAGGAATAAGGTTAGATATGTTTGCCGTGTGTAACAAATTAATATCTAAATGGTTTTATATAAAGGTGAATGATGAGCCACATTTAGGATACAGTGTCACAACAGGAATTGACGTTAATAAATGGCAATGTTAAAACTTTTTATAAAAGTCATACTACAATTATTAATGAGAAACAATAATATGGCTAAGTTGGTAAAACATCGTAAATAAACAATTTTGTCAAGTGACACTGAATATTCTGTTACAATTTACGTAAAAGTATTACATTGGTAGTAACAATGATTTTTTAATGAATATAAAAATTTATAAAAGGCATTCATTTACATACTTTACCTGTTTAAAAAAAAATTTGAAAGCTGGCCTTCTTAAAAAATGACAGATTCACCAAGAACTAGTATAGGTTATGATGATACCTACTCACAGGTCATATCACAAAACGTATATTATGAAGATGTAACTTACAATCAAACACCACAAGCGTCAGATGCGATACCGATACCAAGCCCTGTTCAAGAATCACCAGAGAAATTATTTGATACTGAAATAAAAATAAATCCGAATATGAAATTTCCAACACATGTAAAAATTTATCGAACTATAAATACATTTAAAATTTTAGCTTTATTTCTTTATGTATTTCTCTGGATATATAAGATAATTTATAATGAGGTTCATAACTCCCCCAATTCCTCATTTGAAGCTTTGCCTTTTCCTCCCAATCATTATAGTCCATCTGCTTCATATGTTGGCGCTATAATCATGACTCTTGTATTCACTTTATCGATCATTTTTCTTGTAATAGAATTTTTATTTCTTTTTCTCACATATAGACAACCATTTATTAAGAAAAGCCACATTATTGTATCTCTATTGATATTTTTCATTTATCTTGCTTTTGCATTAGCATTTAATATTATTGCTGGTCTGGGTATATTATATACAGAGATATATTCCGCTATGGTTACTTTATTATGGATTATACCTCTTCTCTCATTATTAGAATTCTTTGCTGGTTATTCAGAATGGCCTATAATTGGAGAGATTACAATTAGTGGTTTTATTAAGTTCATAAAAGTAATATTAATTTTCCTTTATTTAATTAATATTATTATCAAATTAGTACTATTTAACTCAAATTATGATCCTTTTTATACTAAAAATGCTTTAACTGTTTCCGCTGTCGGAATTATTAACTTAATTTTTGAAGTCATTCTTTTCGCTTTTTATAGATTTCAAATTTTCGAAAATGGTTTAAATATTGTAAAAAGAGTTATTTTTATGTTATTTTTTTCTCTTTATTTTGGTACAGCTTTTGTTAATTGTTACATTTTAGAAAGTACGCATATTTTTTATTCTATTGCTGATGGATTAATTTGGGTTATTGTACTTTGCTGTTTTGTGGATTTTATCTTCGCTGAGTTCTGACTTTTCCCAGGGTTTCAACTTTACCAAGGTTTTGCCAGAGTTTCGCCGTTTCGTTAGAGTTTCGCCGTTTCGCCAGAGTTTTGCCTGGTTTCGTCTTTCACCGGATTTAGTTTTGTCTTTCGCCATTTGCCAAAAATAGTTTCGCCTGCCAACACTAGTCACAGATAATTAGCCCAAGCTCTTAGCCTTAGCTTCTAGTTCGAGCTTCTAGTCTGAGCTCTTATTCTTGTATATAATTTATATTTATTTGTCCTTGTACAAATTACTTATATAAATTATTCAATAAAAATATAAGCAAGACCTCATCTTAATATCAAAAAAAAAATAATAATAGATAATAGAAAGAGGAAAAAAAAATAAACTAATATATAAAAAAAAATGTTGAATCATGGTTATCTGGACCCTTTACACCATGTATCACATCTGACAGCTTCTGGATATTGTATAATATGATTATCTAAAAAAAAAAAACAATTGCTCAGTCCACCCACTCATGAAAAGCAATACCACCCACCCAAGAAAAGCAATACTACCCACTTGTTCAAGAAAAGCCCCAATACCACACAAAAAAGGACCACCATATACTCACCCAAGAACACATGCAACCCATCCAAGAAAATATACACCACATACCCAAGAAAACATATGCCGCCTATCCAAGAAGCAATAGACACCCACAAAAAATAAAAAAACTAAGTATTTTTTTAGCATGCTAGCAATTCTTGAAATTTCTAAAACAGTAGAAGAGTATAAGATGATAGTCAAATATCTTCATTTAGAAACTATCTCAGATAGTGTTCAAAAGAACTCCTTCGCAAGCATTGCAAGATCCAACTTTATTTGTCACTGCAAAAATTTTGAAGTTGATGAAAATAGAATTCTTTACTTTTTTGTTGGTAGATCCATATTTGTTGGCTTTTTTATTAGTTGGCGAAGATTCATATTTGATAATATTCTTCATTATAATTCTCATTAGTTAAGAAAAATTCATATTTGGTTTGAAGAATTTATATTTTGGTAATATGCATTTTAAGATTTTCATCAGTTGGACGAAGATTCATATCTTTCACAATCATGTTAATTAAATGTAAGTTTATATTTTGTCGTGATTTTTTAATCACTTGTTGGTTAGACGAATTTTTAAATTTGCTTAGATATTTGTTGAACAACGGTTACATTTGGCTGGGTACTTATTTGTGTGCGCAAAAGTAAAAAGAAATTTTCATGAGAGAAAGAAGAGAAAATTCTGTATGTTAAAAAAGCATATAATTGATAAGGGTGACGCACGGGTTGTTACGTCAGGCCCATATGATAGTATAGTTATTATCAGTTATTTTAGTATATGATATTTTTAAGATATTGGATCAAGCGATGATAAATATCATAAAAATTGTTCCGACAGAACAAATTTTATGATATTTATCATCGCTTGATCCAATATCGTTCTTGTCGTGTTTACGTAATAGCGTACAAAAAATAATAAGAAAAATTTATGACGTGCATAAGAGTTTGCACGATAACTATGCGTAAGCTTAGGGTTTGGGCCGGTTTTATTGTTTATATGTTAACCCGGTTTTAATCGGTTTTACATATAAAAATAGAGATGTTTCAAACCTACGTAAGCTAGAAAATTTTAACCACGTGGCTAAAGGCCACGTGATTTAAATATGACCGTAATTAGCTTATATATGTCATATAACCATGCTATAGTTATAGGTATTTTCTGGTTGTTTTCTTTTGCCATCCAGCCTAATAGTTCTCCCAACCCATGACATAAATTCTCCATAGAAAGGTAACAGATAAAATATAATGTATAAAAAAAAAGTAATAATGATTCAGTAACACTACACGTCGTTCCTAGTCTTGGCGAAGTGACAATACTTAAAAATAGAAGTGTTCACAAATCATTGGTTTTTTATAATATCTGAAATGTATACAAAAATAAGAATATTGTTCGAATAAATTTAATCTATTATTTGACTTTTTTGAAATAATGCAGGTTTAATTTCTTGAAATGATAATTCATAAGATTATTATACCGCAACAACACTGACAACCTTAAATATTTTAAAAGAAAAATCAGGAATAAGGTTAGATATGTTTGCCGTGTGTAACAAATTAATATCTAAATGGTTTTATATAAAGGTGAATGATGAGCCACATTTAGGATACAGTGTCACAACAGGAATTGACGTTAATAAATGGCAATGTTAAAACTTTTTATAAAAGTCATACTACAATTATTAATGAGAAACAATAATATGGCTAAGTTGGTAAAACATCGTAAATAAACAATTTTGTCAAGTGACACTGAATATTCTGTTACAATTTACGTAAAAGTATTACATTGGTAGTAACAATGATTTTTTAATGAATATAAAAATTTATAAAAGGCATTCATTTACATACTTTACCTGTTTAAAAAAAGTTAAAGGAGGTTGGAATAGTGATTAGTGATAAGGATAAGAAGAGATTTGGTAAGATTTTTTCTATTA